CTAAACCCTTAACCCCAAACAAACCCTTCTGCAATACAAGTGCGTAATCCCGAAAGCCATAACCCTAAACTGTGCAAAAGGATTGAGGGCATTGCCCCAGGTACACAGGCATTCTTCAAGTCATGTCAAGCATTCCACCTTGCGTTGAATTATTATGAACTGAAATATTACTGCAGTGCAGTTGTGTCCACTGTCACTTACACAACCCATCTAACTCGCTCAATATGTCAACATGCAAAGGGCGTTGGAATTTGCAAGCGTGCCATGGCAAGATTGCATAATCATGTAATGTAGCCTATATTAGTACATTCTCCACAGCTGTGATGACAATTGTGTGGCATCCAACAAGCGCATGTATTGGCTGTTGCAGGCTCAATTTTGTCGAGGCCTCAAGATAGTATTGCATTGTACTCAGTAAGCACATCCGCTAGACAAACAGAAGGCATGGGTGAATTAATGTCTTCAGGGTTATAGCTATAATGCAGGATCGATCCATTAGTTAACTTTCCTCCAACCATGCCTCCAATGATGTCAAAACATGTGCAGTTCCCGGACGAATGGCTGCCTTGCTATACCCTGTTCAAGGAGCGGAGAGGCAGACAAGTCTTGGCTGCCCTCTCGGCGTTTGATGGCCGTCCAAGGCCAAAGAGAATATCTGGAGCATTTCAAGATGCTGGCCTGATGGAGTGGTCTTTGGACAGAAGGAACTCGCCCAAGGAAGATATGGGACAGGATGTGGGCATCCAGAAGTTCCTGGACGCACTCAGTCAATGCGATCAAGATAGTCTGTTGTGGTTGGCTCCCGAATGCTGTACATGGGTTTGGATTAATCGCCATTCAAGTGGCGGACGTGAAGATCGAGTTCATGGGACCCTCTCTAGCAGAGTCCTGGAAGCAAATTCGATTGCTTGGATCGTGGCCCGCGCCATTTTGGCAGCAACGGCTGCAGGTTTCTGAGCTGCGACAGGAACCTCTGTCCAACTAGTTTTTTGCAGATAACAGTAACGCCAACCAATTTCTACATGTAAATCACAGAATGGTAGCCAGTCCTAGGTCTCAAAAGGCACACATTGAGGTCCCCCACTTCCATGTGACTCATACTTTCTTTCCTTGCGCCCCCGAAGGAATGCTTAGTCTTTTCCCCTTTCTCCAGCTGGCTAAGGTGTGTACTATGTGCTGGAGTAGCCTGTGAATTCTCTTCTGGTGAAGTTTCCTGAAGTCGAAGATGCTATCGAGCAGACGCGTGGCCGTAGGGTCACTGTTCGAACGATGTCTTTTAATGGAGACAGCAGCAAAGGTCTTTGGCTTACTGGAACAGCTCCTTGGCTGGAGGAGTTGGAAGCTATTTCCCGCGATCAGCGGCCCTCGGATTGCTCTCATTTGCGGCCACTGGCTGACAATGTGGACGGGGCAGTGACTGGCCGCAGGATTGAGATGCAGATGAGCGAGGAGTACACTCCAGAGTTTACAGAAACTTGCTTGTGTGGAGATTCAGAACTCTACATGCGTGCTACTGAACTTCTGCTGCATACTAGTTACTACTTGGCCGGTTATGTTTGAATTAGTTTATGTAGGTAGCTATGCGAAATACTATTAAAACAAGCAGAGTGATGTGTGCTCGATGGGATGGGTGTCATCTGATCAGCAGTAACACATACTTTGGCAGTAAGAGGCAGGTTGTTAAGCCCTTGTGTGTTGGTTTGTGTAGTAGTGTAAGTCCAGTATATTGTTTAGTGTGGTTACTTTCAAGTGCCCTAAGTAAGTTATAGCGGATGTGTCCAAGTAGGACAAATGACAAATGAATGGGTTGGAGCCCGCTAGAGGCTAAGTAGGGTCAACCAAGGAAAGCAGTTGAGTTTGCCTGTAAGATTTAATCGGCCAGGTTAGTTCAACCCAGTTTAGCCCGCTGAAAAAAACACCTTGAAGCCATTTAGGCCACTTATTTTTTCTGTAAGTAAGTTAATTCGCCCCTACTCTGTCGTGTAAGTAGCTTACATGTCTGGAAAACCATTCGAACAATCTAAAAGCCTTATATCATCTTGCTATGTGACTACATAGTAATTGTTGGCGCTGAGGATGCAGTGGCTTCGCTGCATTGCAAGTACCTTCATCGCCTTGGCCGTCTGGACTAGTCCACTCTTGTACAGATTTCCTCCCGGGAGCCTGAGATTTGGTTTCTGTGTAATGGGGAGCACGCAGTCACAGCATAAATTTGCACTCATATCTGTCTCGAGAATTGATGATGCAGAGCCAGTTTGCTGTCCATGGGGCTAGCTAGTGAATGACTGTCATTGGCTTTGCTGCGCAGGCCCTTCGCCTTCTCCTTCCAAGCAGCAGGCCTGATGTGATGCAATTCCTGCAGTCTCAAGCACATCTGGGAGAAAATCAAGGCTATTCACTTCGTTGGAAAACATGTTTTCACATTCTTTACGAAGCTACCTCAGGCTGCAAGGATGCCATCATACTTGTGTAAGACCTCTCAGCAGGCACAGGCAACAGAAGACTCTCAGATTCATAGCATCGTTGGCTTCACACAACTGGCACTGTTGCATGAACATTCAACACAAGGAGGGGCAGCTGCTTTCAATTCAAAAGAATAAATTGCTTGACATTCATCTTGCCCACACTCAGGTCCCAGGCCAACTGCTTCCAGACAATGGCAAGGCTCTCAGCTGTGCGAGCTCAGTGAGCTGTCTGTGAAGCAGCTGAATTGTCCACTTTGCGAAGGAAGCATGCGCAACCATTATTGGATTTAATTGTGAACTTGCAGTGGCACTGGCTCAGAAAGGGAGGTTGACAGCCGAACACATGTCAGCCCTGGAATTTGCACACACTCCACTTCCGAAAATCAGCGTGGTAACCCTCATCATGACAGCAATGGGTTTCAGAGGGCCCTTGCGTAATAAGATTGCAACAATGGCAGTTTACCTGTGAACGCCTAGCACGCTCAGAATTCTGACTTAACTGCAGGCTCCACCTTTCCCGATGGCCGTTCTCCCCAAGAAGTAGTAAAGTAAGTAAGAGTCTAACAGCCCGGCAGCAAACATTTCTTCTTAGACAGACTGATGACCTAACTAATGAACCCCGAATGCTGTCAGAATACTATTAAAAGGCACTGCTCCTCCCAAGTGCCAAGGTCCCTCCTTGAATGATGTGTGCCGCCATGGAGCTCGCGACAATGCGTGATGTTCCGACCTGGACTCCGCTGGAAGTGACGCCCCGCCGTGGACAATCGAAGAAGAGCTGGTCAGTGATCTTGAAGATTCTGGATGTCCAGCAAAGCTGTCCCGTCAACTGCGTGTAATGTGGGAGGCAGGATGGAATCGGCATTGTACTGAGGAGTATGCCGACCCCTTGGAGGAATACCTTGAAGTCCGCATGTATCGACTTGAGATGTTCATGAAGGACTGCAAAGATCAGGTTTCAGAAGGCTGCCTTGCAATGCTCCATCTCGAGAAGAAGTGGCTTGAATGTGCAGTGGTCAGGGTGATGCAGGTGAGCCTAGACTGAGCTTTGCTGAGAAATGCGTCGATGGCAGAACAAGCGAGCAACGAACAAGCTGCAAGGGAGCGAGAGCCGTGCTTTAAGTGGTAATGACTTGTACAGCTCTATGATGGGGTTACCGTTGCGAAAACTTCCTGTTTGATGAGAGAGGTGTGTGGAACACGCGCCTCTCAAACTTCTCGGGAGTTCGGGGGTGCGAAACGAAAAGGGCAGCTAATGCAGTGACAGTGATGCCAGTTCCAATGCCAATGGCGAGCAGCAGCCCTTCTCTGACTTTAATCTGTGCATCTGCAGTCTTCAAGCTGCCTAGGTCTGGATGTTCCAGCTACACGCCCTCGCCCTGGAGCTTGAAGCGTATGTATTGCATTTTCATGCTCTTGCATCATAATTGTTGGAATACTTGATATCGGTACAAATGAACATGCGCGCCCTTAATTCACAACGATAATGGTGCCACCTATGGTGGTTGTAGGGAATGAAGACTTTTAGAGTTATTAGGGACGATGGCAAGGGATTCTCCAGTGTCACCCTTAAAGCCAGTTTTTGGCCTTGCTACTTCCATGTCTTGAATTGTCATTGACTCTGCTTGTTTCCGACTAATTATGGAGTGCACAGCTTTCAGTTGGGGCCCTGTGGCAGTGGCAATTTCTAACGCTATTCCTGCCAGGAGTTATGAAGGGAATGTTGCTGGCTCTGACACCCAAGTGGCCACTAACCACATGCATCCTGTAGTCCAACAACCAGAACCACATGTTTCATTGCAGTCCCAGGTCTCATTGGCTGGACGACCTGGTGGAGAAGTGACAGCAGGGTCTATGCCCCTAAATTCCGTACAATTAGGGATGTATAGTTTATAGTCCAAGGATTCAGGGTATGGGGCTTCAGGTCAAGTAGCTGCTCTGCAGGATGCTTCAGCCAACAAGTGTGTTTCACCCGGCTTTGACACTGTGCAATTCCCTCACACAGAAAATTGCAAATTGTAAGTCAAAAACACGAAAAATACAAATTAGAATTGAAAACAAAAACAAAAAAATGTCTACTGCAGGGGGAGAGATGCTGCCACAGGCAATGCATGTGCCCACTTTCTGCAGGAAGCAGGTCTGTTCCGCAGACTCAATTCATGTGTTTTTCAATCTTATCTGAAAAGCCAACTTCTCCACTGCAAATCCTTTCTTGTGGTATCTCCAGCCCTATCTCCAGAACCCCTTCTAAGAACCCCCCTCTCTGCCGAGAGGTCTAAAGAACCCCCGGTAGGTTCTAAGAAGGACTCCCTAGGGGGCGGGTACCCGGGCGGCGGGGTAAAGTTGCCTCCAAGACTAGCCCCAAATAGGATACACATAACACCATGTATAGCCTGCTTACTAATCCCTGAGCTTTCAAGTACGGACTATAGTTCTATAGTATATTGGCTTGTCGTGTGTTCGGGTCTATCTTGGACCACACCCCCCTTCAAAGAACCTGCCCATGCCAATCAAGCAAAGTACCGTGAGCGACAGGCCCTGAACGATTGCCCGTCCCTGCAGACGCTAGACCTGCCGACTCCTTAGCTTAAGGAGCTTTAGGATTGAATATTTAGGGTGTAGGATGTAGGGCTTAGGGTTGAAAATTTAGTGTTTAGGATGTAATTAGGGCTTAGGTTTTAATATTCAGGGTCCGGAGTTAGAGTTTCTGGACTTGGGGTTTATTGTTCAGGGTTTGGGGACAAAGGGTTTATGGGTTACTTGTTGGCGTTGGGGGAAGTAATTGGAAAATAACATGAGAACATGGCAAATCAAAAAAGGAAACATAGGAGCCTTTCGGTTTGAAATCAAGAGCAGCAGGTGAAAACTCGGTTTACGGTTTCGGGTTTAGGGCAGTCAGCGAAATTAGGAAGCCCTAGCCATATCATGTGGTAATGACTGTTGCGTTTCTTGTATTTCTGCAATGACATTTTCTAGGCCCTCAGGAATCCAGCTACTTAAATAAGTAGTAGGCCACCAAGGTCAAAAGGGGTTCGTATACGGGTTCGCTGAGACCCAAGTACTTACCGTATAAGTACTTGGCCCCTTTCTGTGTTGTTTGCGTTGTTTTCGGACTTACCTGGGCAAGCTTCCTTCGCAACACGCAGAGAAGCGCCGGAAGAATAGGACAAGGCTTCACTATTCGCTGGGCAATTTAAAGCGACCTCACCCGACCTCACCCTAAATGGTGGTTGATGTAGGGAATAGTGCGAAGATGGCTTTAAATTGGGAATTGAAACTGTTCTAAACTACCCTGTATTCCTTAGCATAGTATTTGCAAAGGTACACTTTAACCCTTTTGGCTTCCTAGAAGTCTCTCCATGATAAAGAAAAAGTGCAGTTGTTTTGGCCTAGGGAACTCTGCAAGTGGCCTTTCTGATGCATGCACGATACTTGGGCCTGCTGGGTTCGAACAGTACTGTACTGGCATTATGCAGACGTCCATGAATAAACCCTAAACCCTAAACCCCCTAAACCCTAAAACCTTAACCACGTCTTGACCTTTAGGCGAAGCCATGCTTTGCGCGACATTCTATGAGCTATAGTCTAAACTCCTTAAAGTAGGGTTATGTAGGTGATATGTAGGGGACTACTATAGGGGTTATTAAGGGGGATACTAGGAGTTTAGACTATAGCTCCTATAAATCTTGGGCATCTGGCACAGGTTGCTGTTTATCTGTTTATGCCATACCTCTAACTTGCGGGAGAAATGGCCCTGTGTGATCATGTACGAAACTGCATGTAGCAGAATTCAAGCCTCCGCCCCCCAGGAAGATATCATATGCTCCCTAGTCTTGCAATCAGACCCAACTGTACTCAAACCCTAAACCTTAAACCTTAAACCCTATATTATGATCCCTTTTATAGAAGTTTCCTTTTTCTTTTCCATTATACCCTATATAGCCCCCTAGACCCTATAGAACCCCTTAAACCCAGGTCGCAGAATTTGCTGACCATGGACTCCTGCTCAGACTTGTGTCAACTCATCACTACAGCTCCAAGGCAAGGCTCTTCCTGAACACCTGCTTTGGTGGTTTAAGGGTTTTGGGTTTAGGGTGTAGGGTTGGGCACCATGGAGGTTGAGCTTGTCCAGCTAGCCCTGAAGCACCAAGAAAGGTAGGCTTTCAGGCATCTCGATGTCAGACTTGCCGATCTAGTCAGACTTGGCCCCAAAGCTCCAGCTAGCCCAATGTAGGTCATATTTGCAGATGTGAGGACCGAATAGGTAAGCCCAGAATGGGGGTGTGCAGTAGTGCCCGGAGGCAGCGAATCCCGAGTAGTCTTTTGAAAAAAGTCACTTTGGGCTCACGATGCTGTATATAGACACGTTCAAGCACTCGAATTTCATAACTAGCTACAGCTTACTGTGAACTATAAATCAAACCAGCCAACCCTAAACAGGGTGTAGGGTTCCTTCAACAATATACCTTCCTGCCCCAGTGTTGATGCCCACACAAGCACACACTGCGTACGGTGGCGCAAGTCTTCGGCACATTTCTTACCTGTTGACAAACTCCCCCAAATGCAAGGAGCCCTGTACCCCCTTTTAGAGACTATGGGGCCCCACTAGGCCCCACAGGGGCGTTCCTTGCGGGAGGTGAATTGAATCTCCCATGAGGAAGGGGGTGGGATGAAGGGCGGGAGTTGTATTGTTAGGTCTCCAGTCCTTATTGGTGATGGCACCAGGAAATGCGGTACTACGGCACTACACGGACTTTGTCCAGAAACAGTGAACCCCAAACCCTAAACCTGTGACCCTTCGCCCTTGCCCTAACCCTAAACCTCGGCTGCCCAGGGTTTCTCGTGTAAGCACGCTAGGTTCCAGTGTACCTAAACCACCAAAATATGTGAAATAATAGCCCTGAATCCATAATAACAGCCATAAAGGCCATTATTTTACACACTTTTGGGGTCCAGGTATACTGTATAGGTGCTCTGGTTTGTTACTGGAGCCTAGGGCCTTTACACTCTGAGTTCTTGGGGCACTTGACCCGTACTGCTCCCTTCCGCAAAGGAACACAGCTGTGGGCTCCGTGAACTGAATTCCCAAAGTGAAGCATGCAGATCAGGTTTTGCATAGGTTTCAATTTCTCGGAGCACAATGCCCTGAACTCACATAATCTGTAGGCAAGCTCGAAACACCATCCAATCCTCTGGCGCTTGACCAGGTACCTTGCATTATATCCATCTCAAGAATTGAAAACCCTGAAGCCCTTACAGTGTTGATGTTAAGTACACTTGATGAATTTGCAAAAAATATTGGTGTATATTGAGTACTATGTATATGCATATATACATTCACCGTATGGTCTTACTACACAATATGGTCATCCTAAATTGGTAACTTAACTGAATTTCCTTAACATTAACCCAGCAAAAGCTTTAGCCCTGCGCAGTCTCTCTTTCATCTCCCTGGCAGAGAACTTGTTCTCACTGCGATCTGTGGGATATTTCATGCCCCGGCCCCAGTGGAGGTCGTACCTGGCCCTGTAACTGAAGGATGCTGTCGTGTAAACCCTAAGCCCTACCTGAACCCCCAAAGGATGTATAAACAATAACCCTAAACCCACAATAACAGCCATAAAGGCCATTCTTTTACATCCTTTGGGGGCCAAGGTAAGTCCTAAATCTAAATTTCCAAAAAAGTTCTTGGGAAAATGGAACGGCGAGGTTGAGAGATTTTGAGAGGGTAGGCTTTCAGCTGCAGATATGGTATTTAAGCATTAGGGCCCCGGCTTCTTAAGCATCACCTCAGGGCTGGAATTTGGGTTTAAGGGTTTAGGGTTTGGGTTTAGGTTTAGGGTTTAGGTTTAGGGTTTAAGGGTTTAAGGGTTTAGGGTTCAGTGTTTAGGTTTTAGGGTTTAGGGTAGTTTCCTGATATAAGGGGACCTTAGTATAGACCTCAAGATATTTTGTTCCTTATTATGGGGACCCCAAAACGGCACCCCTATTTTTTCAGTAAGCCTCGGTTGAAGCGGTCTTCGGAGCTTGCTACACGGTTGTCGGACCGCCTTTTAGACGACCTTTTTTCGCACGAACTCTAACAACTTAGTAGCCTTATGAATTTTAATATGACTACCATTGTTTTGTGGTAGCATTCTTCTTATTCTTTTTGCCATTAGTCCTAAGCCTTCAAAACCCCTGTGTGGTTTTGATGTTTAGCCTCTGTACCTTTTTTTTCTGTGTTCAATCATTGTCTGCGTGAGCGTTTAGTGAGGCCTGCTGTCATGGAGAGGCAAAATCCTATGGCGCGGGCTTGAGGACCTTAACCCTAAACCCTGAATCCTACATCTTAATCACTCAGTCTTACTGCAAATCTGAAGCCCCAGACCCCAAACCCTAAAGCTTGTTTGCCGAGGACTGCTGTCATGGAGCGGCAAAACACAAAAAAGTTGATGCCCCTGGATCTCCTAGACCTGCAGGGCAATGAGGCTAGGGTTCAGGGTCTAGGGTGTCCAGGGTTTAGGGTATAGGGTTTAGGGTATAGGAATTTGGTTTAAGGGTTTGGGCTTAGGGCTTAGGGTTGAGGGTCTGGGGGTTCGGGTTTCAGTTTTAGGTTTTCGGGCTTCAGGACCTGGAGGGCAATGATGTCACAAGTCCAGAAGTTGTAGGGTTTCTGTAGAGGCTATAGGCTATAGGTATAGGGCTAGGTTTCTGGGGATATGTATGTAATCGAAAACAACGTGCAAGCTACTGCAGATTTTAGGGCTTTATTCAAAGTTACTGGCTGCTAGTAGGGTGGCTAAGGCAATGGGAGCTGCCGTAGTGTTGAGGGTGTAGGATTCTTGAGGGTGAAGGGCTCAGGGTTTGGGGTTCGATGATGTTACTGAGACCAAATTGAAAAACACATGCAAAATCAACTTGAAACTTGGGGGGGAACTAACATCGATACGCTGAGGGCGGGGAGTTATGGGGATATTGAATTCTTTGGGTGTTAAGGTTCAACTTGCCTTTCCTGGTAGGGAGTGGGAAAGGAACTGGTTGCCATTTTCAGGGTCTAGAGTAGTCAGCAAGGCATGGAACAGAACTTGAAAGCCACTGTATAACAGTTCATTTCCAACTAACAACCAGCAACCGAAGCGAACAGGTTTTCAGGGCTTTGGGATTCCAACCTATAATTGTGAACAGATTTTCTTCAAGCGGTTTAGGGTTTAGGGTTTATCTCCATTGCTAATCAAAAGCTATGAAGGTGGTTTCAGAGATTGGCTGCTGGTAAGGAAAAGGGTGCGAGGTGCGAGGTAGCAGGTGGGCATGTTGAAGCTAGCTTCCTGTTCCTTAGCCCTAAGGGTCCATGTACCCAATAATTGGGTACTTGGGTTTTGGGTAGTAATGGTTATAGTACAGGTTTTGGGTCAGTATATGATTATTGGGTACTTGGACCCTCAGGGTAGTAGATTAAGTACAAAGGTCCAAGCGGAGGTTTCCACGAATCTGAACATGTTGTTTCAGGTTTAGGTTTGCCGGCATGCCAGAACAATTCCAGGTTCCCAAATGAATTCGGGAGGTTTTGCAGGTACCGTGCCTCATAGTAGGAATGTGGAAGGCATAAGGAAGGTTCCATGGATTGCTTTCTACTGAGGGCCTTCATAGCTGCAGATATGGGGGGTTCCTACAATTAGGGGTAAGCTTAGGGGGTCCCCATAATAAGGAGGGTTATATTGGGGTCCCCTTATTTTGGGAAACTATCATATCTGAATTGGATGCAGTATCTTGTGTCCTGGGATTTCAAGGCTAAGAGATCGTAGGATTCTCATGCTGACAGCTGTTGGCTAAGTTTGATCCAAACCTTGCCTGGAAGGTTATTTTATAGGGGCTGTATAGGATAGGGTTTAGGGTTTAGAGTTTAGGTATGCTCCCAAGCGATGGAGAATCAAGTGGAACTTTAGGGTTTAGGTATGCTCCCAAGCGATGGAGAATCAAGTGGAACAGCCAAGGGACTATGACATGCCCACTGCATATCCCGATGGTTTCCGAGTACATGTTCAGCTCAGCCTTGTTTTACCTTGGGATTTGCCTGAATACGGGTCCTTATAGTCGGGGCTACTATAGTCGACCCCAGTTGGGGAACAGTAATTTAGGCCAAGTCCCACATATTGCCTGCATCCCAGGATATCAAGTACCCCCTGAACCCTAAACCCTAAAACCCCAAACCCTCAGTTTAGGATCTAGGGTTCACCAAGCCCGAGAAACACATAAACCCTGAACCCATAAACCCTAAAACCCCAAACCCTCATAAACTCAAAAACCTTCAGGGCCTGGTGGCAGCAGCCGCAGCGCCGGTGCCGGAAGCACTGCTCACCCAGGAGGGGTCCGGAGTTGGTTTGTTGAAGGGTTTAGGGTATAGGGTCTATAGTAGGGTTTAGGGTTCGGGGTTTAGGGTATAGGGTTTAGGGTTTTAGGGCTCAGGGTAAAGGGTTTCAGGGTTCAGGGTATAGGGTTTTAGGGCTAAGGGTATATTGGACCCCTTAATTCATGAGGATCCGAACCAGAATAGCGTTTCAGGTTTTCGGTTCAGGGGCTTGCAAGTCCTTTTGGGACGGCAATAATTGTACGTTGAGGGAGGGGCTCACAAGTTTTAAAGTTTCAGGATGGCTTAATAGACTCCAGAACTCCTCAATACTGTTGATATGAAAATCCTGCATGACCTCAGTATACCATAGTGCCATTATTCCCAGGGTTTAGGGTACTTAGGGCCAGGCAGGATTTTACGTATCCACCGTAGGATCCTGGCAAGAGCAGATTAGGGGCTTCTACCCTAAACCCTACATCCTAAACACCCATCCTGGGAGTGGGGTTTAGGTTGAGCCTGAAGCCCTCCCACGGGCGACCGACAAATCTTAGGGCCAGGAGCTCCAGGGCCCAGGGCCTCCCAGGGGTGCCAGGGGCCTGAAACCTCCCATGCAGGGGCCTTCCAGCTCCTCCCAAGAAGGTTAAGCCTCAAGAACTTCCAGGAACCTCTCAGGGCCTCTCTGATGCCTCTCAAGGCCTCCAGCCTTGCTTTCAGATCAGGAATTTTGCTCCAAACACATGCTTCCAAGCCCAGACAAGATCGTTGTTCAAGATTG